AGTGAAAAATCCACGTGAAGCAGACTAATTTTGGCAAAAAATTCCAGATGCAATTTTCTCGTACATGTATACTTGGCGTGTAGAATCAAGCTAGACCTGGAACTGGGGAGGGACTTAGCTTACTCCTGGGCCTGGCTGGATTCTTTTTGTTCATGCAAGAGTGGCGAGGTTAGCTAAAATAAATATTTTAGCCATTCTCTGTGCGCTAACTACCTTTACTTTCATCTGAGAAGGCTTATTTCTCACATGCATCATGCCTGCCAACAGGTGACTGGCATTATTATTCTCCAATAATAGCCCCTTTTGGGCCTTCACCTGGCTCATACTTATTTACACTTACAGATAGCAGAAATACTTTTAGCAGCTGCTTCCGGCATCCTTAATCAAATGCGACCAGAACCTTCCGGCCCTGGGCATTCTGAGTCAGAATGCCAGTTGACCACTTGGGTCTCACGAATATAATACTGCATATGATGTATGTTAAAGTACCTTCAGTAAATTTTAGGCCTCACAGCAGCTTAGCAGATTCGTTTTGCAGGCTAAACCAGGGAGGCATAATTGCTCTATTTTGCTTTTCCAATTTTTTTTTTAAGCGAATCTGTTGCCAACAATAACAGAAAAGAGAGGTTTTACGTAAAGATCTTGGTATTTGGCTTGCTCTGGGAAAATGGGGACATGGGCCACGCCAGGCCCTATTCCTCTTTGGTGATTTTCTTTTCCAATGGACTAGAAGCAGCCTGCACTGAGAATGGGCTCCTGGGGAGGGCCCAGCACTGCCTAGCGTCCCCCTGTGCTGACACTAAGTATCAAGTGCCCTTTAATGGTTGAGATTGGGCTGCTGCTGTGCAGGACCCCCTCCCCCGCCTTATTCCTGCCTGGCCCCTCTAGGTATTTGAGCCTGTTCGACCCTTCAACTGTCACACACTTTTTCTTCTTGGCTCAACACTTGTGCTTTGCTCAGGCTGTTTCTCTGTCTGGAATGCCATGTCCTTTTAGGCTTGCCTATCCAGGTCTTAACCTCTTCTCGAAGGCCAGGTGGTCCGAGGCCCCTGTCATGACTATGACAGCCCGTAGTTCCCCTATCTACACAGACAGCACAGCGTAGCTCTGTTCATTGTTTCCTGGCCTCCCTCTCCTTGCTGGTCAAGGCTTAAAGCCAGGAAACCTATTTTTCTCATATTTTATATCTACCACTGTAAAAATGTTCATGCTTAACCCTCACCCCACTTCAAAGGCAGAGAATAGTGGCTTATCGATCGACCTCACATTTGTTGGAAAGCAGATTTATACATGGGGAAAAGAAGCAGGAGAGTGTTAGCCATATGAACGTAATATAAAATGAGCAGAACTGAGAAAGCTGGTAGGAAGGCCCAGAAGCCCCGATTAAGTGGTTGGCGGAGCAGCATGGCCCCTGCCGGTGAGGACCATGCTCTTTCCTGGAGGGTCCGCCCACTCTCCACATCAGGTGGCTAATACCGCAAACCCTGCAGGTCTGCCCGGGGGCTCAACATTCACGTATATACAAATAAGACTATTCCCAGAGTGACTTAATCACGTACCACAAATGAGGCAAAGGTCTTGGATGCACATCAGACTAACCACACCCTAACATAGAGGCAGCTGTGAAAAAGCCCCAAGGCGCCAAGAGTCAGGATGTCAAGTTTGCTGCCGTTCTTAATCGGGATGTGCAGAACGGCCTCTCCTGACCGTGCTACGCTTAGCGGAGGGAACAGCGTACCTGGACGACGACAGAGCATTGGGTGCACAGGCAGATTGTGAGGGGCCAGTTGGACGGCAGGGCTGATGATGGATCTTGGGGATAACCAGTGAGTCCTTCAGCAGGGGGAGGCTCAAGGTCTGAATTTGGGAGTAGGGGCAGCTGAGGCGGGAGAGGGAAAAAGGGGAGTCAGATTTGCATGTTGTGCTGAGGGATTTTGACTTTATTCTGGGGAGGAGAAGGCCTTTAAGACCCTCTGAGGGAGAAGTCAGGTGTGTGACCGAGGAAGGCCTGGTTGCCAGGGCATGGTCCTGGAGAAAGCCGGAGGAAGGTGGGGGTTTAGGAGGCTGCCACTAAGTGGGTGGATTCAAAAGATGTGAGGGGAGCCTTTCAGTTCCTACGCTGACAGCATTCTTTCTGGTCTGAGATGCAGCTATTCCCGGAGGCAGGAAGATGGACTGGCTAACTCTATGTGGAGCCTTTGATTCCATATTGCCAGACAGACGTTTATGGTTTCTGACCCAAGTGTATCTTGTTGCACTCCCTTCGGCAGTATAGACGTCCCTCTTAGCAAATAAGGACTCTTTTCAGTGGCTCTGCCCCTCCCCGCCCTCGTTCTCACCATCCTATGCACGTGGTCTGGACAGAATAGAGCAATTTTCCTTTTTACACACGTACCTTATGTACTTCGGTCAAAGTGTCGTCTCTCAGTACATAGAAATCTTTATGTATACACATTGGCAATCCATAGAAGCCACTTATGTATGTACTCGAGTCATAAGCGTGAGTAGATGTTAGGATTGGTATTTTCTGCTTCTAGAATTTTTGTTTTGAGCTTTAAAGACATTTAAGCATCTGTTTATGGCTTTAAAGTGAGTGTTCTAAGTGGAGGCTATGAATAAATATGTGAATCATGAAGGATATATTGAAGGGGTATTGTCCATAATATATTGCTACTATACAACTCTTTTCAGCTCTTTTTTCATCTCTAAAAAGGTCTAATGTAATCATATGGTATTTTTAAGGAATTAAATTTAATGTTAACTATGGATTTTTTTCTGATTATATCTTTTAGGAGAGACTGGCGTGTAGAGTTGCTTCAACTGCATTAAAAAAAATCTGTTTTTCCTTAGAGCAACTTCTACTCATATTCTTACTTATTTACAGATGATATGTACTTAGGATTTTGTTATAAAAAATTTTTTTAAAGATTTTATTTATTTGAGAGAGAGAGAGCATGAGCAGGGCGAGGGGCAGAGGGATCAGGAGAAGCAGACTCCCCACTGAGCAGGGAGCCCAGTGCGGAGCCAGGACCCTGGGATCATGACCCGAACCAAAGGCAGATGCTTAACTGACTGAGCCACACAGGCACCCTTGTTACAAAATTATTTTAATAGAAATGGAATGTTGGGTTCATTGTTGAACTTTTCAGAAATATAAGTTAAGTTGAAATTAATATTTTTCAAAGCCGATCATGTTATCTTTTCCTCTAGCCAAATATAGTAGATGCTTACAAATAATTTAATTCACCTAGTTCTTCTGTAAGAACATGAATTTTATTTGCTCCTACCCACAGGACACTGGTTCACTGGTTCTAGAGATTTCTTTTCACAAGGCTTCATTTTTCCCTCAGAAATATAAGAATTCAAAGAGTTTTAGAGTTTGGCACATATGTGCAAATTAAATTATATAGCATTTTCAGAATATGCTTTTGCTCAATATTAACATGAGAGGAGCAGTTGGAACAAAGACTACATTTGTCAATTTTTATTCCTTTTACTTGTAGTTGAAATCCTGTTGGGAGTTGAGTAAATGTAAATGTAAATAAAATGAAACAGTCAATATATTTCAACTCCGGGAACTGGTTACAGTGTTACCGCATCACAATATTGAAGGCCTAAAGCAAATGCTAATACATTTTGACCTTGGCTTGTGCTTGATGTTGTTCTTTGGTAATTGCTGTCATCCTGGCAAGTCATCAAAGGGGACCAACAAAGGAGAATTATAGGAGAGGAATTTGAAGGGGCTCAGGGTACATAGTTGGCTGCAGCATTTTGAGGTGTTGACTGCTTTTTTAAATTACCATTTACCGGCTTATTGAGCTGTCCTTGAGTTGGCTCTAGCTTGTAGGTCTGTATTAGCCTTGAGTAGCTGGTACTTATTAACTAACTTCAACTTTTAGTAAAAATCTACGCAGAAATGCATGCATTAATAATCACCAGGTATTCCTTCTCTGTGGTCACAAACGAACATCATTTTTGCATAAATACATGTGTGTATGTATATAGAGTATGCCTAATTCATCATCCTGCAAAAAGAATTTCTAGTATGTAATAGATGTTAAGAAGAGTATTATTTCATTCTACAAACCATTGTATCTATACTTAAGAAAATTATCCAAAAAGCAAACGTTGGAAAAAAAAAATCTTTACTGACTGAGCTTCTCCCTTGTGTTGATTGCTACATCTGTACAAACCTGGGCAGTTGGCTTTAGGTACCTGGGTTCGTGGATTTGCTATTATGATTTTGCCTAAGGTGTCAGCACTGTTTAAGCAACGCCATGAGAGTGTGGAAGATGAATGTTATTATCCTTTATTTAAATCTTGTTATTGAATTATAATTAACATACAAGGTTATATTAGTTTCAGGTGTACAATATAATGATTAACAATTCTATACATTACTCAGTGCTCATCACCATAAGTGTAGTCTTAATCCCCTCTATTTCACCCTCCCCCAAGCCACCTTTAAAAAAAATCCACTCCCCAAACATTGATGATGTGGAATTAAGCTGGAAAATAATCATAACAAAAGAAACACATAAAAAGAAACTACATCACATACTGGTTTTACTGCTTCCCGTGCTATTTCCCCCCCTCCCCCCCCCCGCGGTGCTATTCTTAGAAATGATTTGTTGAAATGAATCTTAGCAAAAAGCTAAGATCCTTTATATTTAGGGCTCTGAGAATGTGTTTTCATTTTTATTGAATTAATAATTTATGGTTAGTTATGATTTCTGATACTTTTTTGGTAGAACATATAATTTGGTGTGCTGAGTTTCTGGACTGGTGGGGTTGCTGACCCATCACCCGTGATGGTGTTCTCTAAAGTGTAGGTTGGTGGGTGGCGGGACTGCCTTGGTGTATCCCTGAGAGAGCTTCATGGTGTTTGGAACAATTCATCATCACTGGAAAGGTCCCCAGGAAAAGAGAGGTTTATAAAGTCAGAATGTGTAAGCAATAATGTCTTACATAAAATAAGGGTGATTTTTTTTTTCTTTTAGATTTTGGGGTAAGTGCATTCTTAGCAACAGGGGGTGATGTTACCCGGAATAAAGTAAGAAAAACATTTGTTGGTACTCCGTGTTGGATGGCCCCTGAAGTCATGGAACAGGTAAAAAAAAAAAAAAAAAAAAAAAGATGCTTTGTATCACTAAATACATTAACATTTCATTCAAGTCAATCATTTTACTAGAATGCATCATATAACTAAGATTTAGTTCCCGATTGGTGGGCCTTAGCAAAGTACTATCAGAGTTGTGCATCCCTGCTGTAGACCTCCAACATGATATGGACTTCCGGGCGGGTGACCTGCCTACTGTGTAATTGTGTTTTTTCCTCCTTCTGTTCTTAGGTGAGAGGCTATGACTTCAAGGCTGACATGTGGAGTTTTGGGATAACTGCCATTGAATTAGCAACAGGAGCAGCGCCTTATCACAAATACCCTCCTATGAAAGTAATTACTATTGGAAATAATATGTCTGGCTTGAAATAGGATTTAATGGAATCTGTTCTGTAATTCTCTTAAACATAGTCATTTTTCTCTTAGACCTGAGGCGAATTAATGGAGGAATGCAGCCAAGTTAAATGTTGTCGGATGTGGACAGAATAGCTCAAAAGTAGTCCAGTTCCCGGCTTTGAAGCTTGCTTTACATTCTTAGCAGAGAGCTGTCTGAAGACTGCGATCACTTTGGCCAGTGGAGGTTGAGAACCGGGACAAATGCTGGTCACTACTCTTTTGATAGCCGAAGACCCCAGACCCCCAAGGAAAATCTAAAAATAGATTACCGCGACATCATCTTTGCAGATGGATTTCCCCCATTTTTTTTAAATGATCTGTGACATTTCACCCCTGTGCTCACTGTGTCCTATTGGTGACTCATCTGAAATAAGGGAGCCCAGTGTTTTTAGGCAATAACCTACATTTGGATGGTGTTTTCAGATTTTTGTGATTCTTCTAACTGGCCTACATTATTATTTCACTTATTCTGAGATGGTGGTATCAGGGCTGATGGACCCAATTAGATTTTGTTTGGGGACTGAAATAGCTGGTGGAAATGATGAAGATATTTTACAGAGAATACAGTCTGGCTTTGTTTCAACTATTTCCTAGGAAAATACTGGAAAAATATAGGAGGATTAAGAAAAACCTGAGGATAAACAAAGTTCAATAATTTTACTGAATAAAAAGTTAATATGTTCTTATGAGGGAAAATTTGGAAGTCCAAACAAGAATAAAGAAGGAAATAAATCATTCATAATTTCATCAATCACAGAAAATCCCTGTTAAGGTCTTAGCGTAGTTCATTACATTGTTCTTTTCTCTCTGTATTTATGTACATATTTTTAACATACTTAAGATTAGGGGTGTGTGTATACATACCTATTTTGTTAGCAGAATATTCAAAGTTGAGGTGTAAACAGTTGAACTGACCTTGTAGAGAAAAAGCACTGAAGCAACTCAGGATTTTCCCTTCCATCCAGTTTTTCTGCATTATTTTTTCTTATTTCTTGTTTTCTTTCATTCCCCACTCCTTCGTGTGTCCCACCCATCCGAATCCAAAGTCCCATTGCTAACCCCAGCCCAACGTCCTGTGGGGCTCTATTGGGACTTCACAGCTTGCCCACTTTCTTCTGTTTGCTCTTATCCTCCACAAACAATAAACTGTCACTTTAATCCTTCATCTATTCACACATCTGAAAGTGTTTGAAAGGAGTCTTGGCATGTATAACGTTTGCATAAATTAAGGCTGATTTATGCATTAATGAGGGTTATTCCTTTTATAGGTCAATAGTTTACTACAGATTCTCTTTTTTTTTGAACAAATAATTCTGATGTTGTGAATGAATGGAATTTTTACCTTTTTGATTTGAAGCTGTATTTTGGTTTTGTTTTGTCCCCCCTCCAGGAGCAGCGTGGCCTTTTGCTCTGGTTATGGTTTTTAGGAACTTGTATTCTGGCTAACTTTAAGCGTTCTTACTGCCACAGTTTTGCCAAGCCTTTAAGCAATATTCTGTAGGTTTTCTCTTTAAAAAAAAAAAAAGAAAAGAAAAAGGAAATCATGTGTTACCTTCTGGGATATTGTGGATTTATTTTTAGGGTTGGCAGTGTGTTAACAGAAGCCTTGAGTACGGGCGGTTCCTTACTTATGAATGACCTGTACACATGAGTGCTCACTGCTGCTCTGGCCGCCCCCCCGCCCCCTCCCCTTTCCCAGCCTCCGCTAAGCCTTTGCTGGAGCTACGTGCTCCCCGAGGCTGTGTGGGAGCCAGTTCCCAGAAGTTCTGTCCCGGCCGCTTTGGGACCTCGTTCTTCACACACACAACAGATTTTGTAAGTTCTGTCAATGGAATAACAAAAAGGTGAAAGGGCACGTGAACAGATTCGCGAAAGGAAATGAGTACTTTGAATACACACTTTCTGGAAGGTTAAAATCATGGGAAAGCACCTCCTCATCAAGGATGGTCCCTAACGCTTCTGTGAAACATTGAGAACTCGACTAGGGCAGAGGCTGTACTGAAATTCTGTCTTGGTGTTTGTTTCTGCTGCAGGTGTTAATGTTGACTTTGCAAAACGATCCACCCACTTTAGAAACAGGAATAGAGGATAAGGAAATGATGAAAAAGTACGGCAAGTCCTTTAGGAAATTACTCTCCCTGTGTCTTCAGAAAGATCCTTCTAAAAGGTATGTCGAACTTTGTGGATGAGTTAATGACCTGGTTTGAATCACGACAAAGCTTTGTTTGTGGCTGGGAAAAGGCTGTGTGAGGACACCTGGAAGGTACTTCTAGTTCAAGGGAAATCCTGCCCTGGCCCCTGGTTTCCAACCTGTTAGTGGAAGACAGCATGGGTCCGAGAGGGAGAGGAGTGAGCACGAGGGAGAGGCAGAGGAAAATTTTTAGTGTTAATGAGATTCACTGTGTTTGTTAGGTATGGGCTCTGTCATCGAAGGAAATGAAATAAAACAAATCAAAAGAAATTGGCAGCGGTGCACTCAGAAACTGAGCTAATATTCTTCACTGTGTAGGTTGAGCTGACCTCTCAGGATTTGAATATCCTGCTAGCTCCAGTCTAAACCAGGCAGAGCTATTGAATTTTGCATGAGCTTCCTTTTAGTTGCAGAACAAGTTGTGCTGTTTAAAAGATTATCAGTAAAGAAGATTAAGATTTTTGCATTAGAAACATTAATCATATAAACAGAAGCAAATGGTCTGAAATTAACGTTAGCGGTTCCTCTTTATTCTGGGGTTGTTGCCCTGCTCTGTAGTGTGTCTGTTTTCTGAGTTTGTTTCTTCCTTCTTAATATCTGTGACTTTGAAATACCCCAGCTAGTGATAATATAGCCCCGTGTCTTTTATTGCTTAAAGAAGAATGTTAATGACGTGAGCCACACAGGCCGTGCCCGGGTAGAGTCCCTTTGTCGAGCTTGGCTGTGTGTGGTGCGGACCTAGCATACCGTCAGCATAGACCACCTATCTGGAGAGGCCACTGGGGAGTCACTGGCCACCTCATGCGCCCAAGGGTTCGGTTTGATACTTACATTTGAAAACGTAAAAACCTGGCTTTCTCTTCTGAAGCTTTCCTTTTCAGGCAAGGACCCTGCTTTTGGAGGGATTCCCGTCTTCTTAAATCCTTTATGAAACCTAAGCCTTTTCTCTTTACACAGTAATCTGCTGTTTGAGTAGGCAGCCATTCTCTAGATTAAACAGAGTTTCCATTATTTTACCCCATTCTTTGTAGCTACTCTCGTCATTCCTTTACATTTTACTGACTTTGCTTTGAATCTTCTCTATATGTCACCATTCTCATGCAGCTAGGTCGAAAGACTGTTTGCTATCAAGCATCCTGAAATTATATATTGTAAAAGGGATCATTGTTTTGTCACACCATTAGGCTGTTTCTGCTTAAACATCTTAGTTGCCTTTTCTATTTGATTTGTGGGGCTTGTTTTTCTTCCGAAGTTATACTGATCTTTCATTGAGGTTACTTCTTCACACTCCTATTGGGTGAAAATGCTCTTAGATTCTCATTTTGTTCTGCAACACTTGTTTGTCTTACGTTTGTATTTGGTGTCGTCTCCAAACATAAATTTTTGGCATCACCAAGGAAATAATTCGATCCTCCAGAGCCCAATGAGAGAGGTACCTGTCTTCCCAGTTAGCACTGGGTTACAGCTGATGGTCTTTGTGATTCACAAACTAGTTGAGATCCCACCTAGTGGTGATGATGTGTAATGTCACATATTTCTAGCCCTTCTGGAAAAAGATACTGTAGGGTAGAATTGCTGGTGTACTAATGATACACAACAGATTTCTTTAGGAATTTGTAAATTACAATAAATTAGATTAGCATACATTATATTTAACAAACCGTCCTTATTTCTTAATAACCTTGAAACTCTTCCCAGGAATTATTTATTATATGAGCTCAAATGTTAGGTTCCTACCACCCTACTGCCCCTAAAAAAAAAATTCTCAAAAAGAGTCTTGCACCATATATTTGAATTCTTACGAAGTCTTCCCCTCAGAGTGCTCTCTTAGTAACTTATTGATTTACAAAATATTAATAGTTTAAGGACTTCTTTTAGGTATTTTCATTATAACATAATCTAATCTCACTATTGTGCAATTGTCTTCTATAACAAACAGAGTATTCGTGGTGCACCAAATTCTTGGGGACTCTTTTTTAAAAATTGAAGTATAATTAACATACGGTGTTATATTAGTTTCAGGTGTACAATATAAGGATTCAAAAACTCTATATTCATTGCTCATCACGATAAATGTACTCTTAATCCGCATCACCTATTTCACCCATCCCCCACCCACCTTCCCTCTGGCAACCACTGGTTTGTTCTCCATATTTAAGAGTCTGTTTTGTTTGTTTTGTTTCTTAAATTCCACATATGAGTGAAATCATACGATATTTGTCATTCTCTGACTTATTTCACTTAGCGTTATATCCTCTAGGTCCATCCATGTTGTTGCAAATGGGAAAATCTCATTCCTTTTTATGACTGAGTAATATTCCATTGTATATATATACCACATCTTCTTTGTCCATTCATCTATCAATGGACACTTGAGTTGCTTCCCTATCTCGGCTGTGGTAAATAATGCTGCAATAAACATAGGGGTATGCATCTATCTTTTTGGATTAGTGTTTTCTTTGGTTTTCTTTAGGTAAATACCCAGTAGTGGAATCACTGGATCATATGGTAGTTCTAATTTTAATTTTTTGAGGAACTTCCATACTGTTTTCCACAGTGGCTTCACCAATTTGCATTCCCACTAACAGTGCATGAGGGTTCCTTTTTCTCCACATCCTCGCCAACATTTGTTTATCTTCTTGACTAGCCATTCTGACAGGTATAAGGTGATACTTCTTTGTGTTTTTTTTTTAATTAAATTAAATTAATTTTTTTAAGTAAACTGTCCCACAAGGTGGGGCTCGAACTCACAATCCTGAGATCAAGAGTCGCATGTTCTTCTGACTGAGCCAGCCAGGTGTCTCTTTCATTGTGGTTTTGATTTGCATTTCTATGATGATGAATGATATTGAGCATCTTATCATGTGTCTATTGGCCACTTGTATGTCTTCTTTTGAGGAAAAAAGTTCATGAAATATGAGAATGGGAAAAAAAATATTGAATTTATTATATAGGATGCAGTTTTAAAATATGTATTCATTACTAAATAAGTAAACATTTAATTACTACCCAAATCTGAAAGAAACCATGAATATTTCCTGTCTTCTCTGTCTTTGCTCATATTGTTCAGAGGTTCTTCCTCTTCCTCTGTTGCCCTTCCACCCTCTTTTAATGCTTACTTGAAAGCATTAATCTTCTTAGCGTTAGATAAATCTGGGTGAGATTCCTAGCCTCATCTACATGACTTAGTTTCCTTGTCTGTAAAATGGGCCTAATAACACCTACTTCATAGGATTGTCATGAGGATGGAATACAATCACGCACTGAAAGAGGATAGCATGGGGATGCGTGGGTGGCTCAGTGAGTTAAACGTCTGGCTCTTGGTTTTGGCTTAGGTCATGATCTCAGGGTGGTGGGATCAAGCCCCATGTTGGGCTCCAGGCTCGGCAGGGAGTCTGCTTGAAATTCTCTCTCCCTTTCCCCCTCCCCCTGCTTGCATGTGCCCTCTCTCTCTCTCTCTCTAAAAATAAATAAATAAATCTTAAAAAAAAGAGGATAGCACAGTGCCTAGGGGTTCCTAAGTATTCAGCGAATTGGGATTGCTGTTCACTATTTGCCTTTTTCTTCCTAACCGAGTGGAATTATTACAACCCTTAGTTTTCCTACAGTATGTTGAGGTCTCTTACAGCACTTTCACCCTATGCATTTATTGACTTACACATCCAATTTCCTCATATGTTTGTAAGTTTTTTAGAAGAAGAACCTGTGTCATTCATCTTTATGTCTTTCTTTTTTTTAATTTTATTTTTTTAGGTTATGTTAATCTCCATACATTACATCATTAGTTTTTGATGTAGTGTTCCATGATTCATTGTTTGCGTATAACATCCAGTGCTCCATGCAGAACGTGCCCTCTTTAATACCCATCACCAGGCTAACCCATCCTCCCACCCCACTCCCCTCCAGAACCCTCAGTTTTTTTCTCAGAGTCCATAGTCTCTCATGGTTCGTCTCCCCCCTCCGATTTCTATCCACACTGTTGGGTCTGTATTACATATTTGATATTTCTTGAGCAACTGGAGACCATTGGGAGCTTGCAATTTGGGGATGATTTGGACTCACTGAAGAGTGTTTCAGAAACAAACCAGATTCAAGTGGGTTGAGGAGTAAATGCAAGATTTTTGATAATTTTTATTTATTTCACATATTGATCATCTACTTGTAATCTGAAAGCAGCTGACAGGTACCAAAACCCTGGTCTAGCTGAGTACCTTTTTAGCAACAAATAGAAACATCACAGGTGAACAGTGACCGGGACAGATTCAGTCCTGTGCTGGAGCCCTCAGGTTGCCTGAGAAGGAGCTGTGTTTTCTGTCAACCTGAGAGCTCATGGAACTTTCCTAATTAAAGAGAGCTGGGGTGTTGGAGCTATTTGCCTCAGACAAGTCTGTGCTCTGCATTGGCACAGACTAAGAGGTGCTTATATTTGCATAGCAGAACATTTTGCTATTTCTTAAAAAATGAGCCTAATCCTGTAGATTATGTACTTCCTATGGATGGCAGCTGTAAAAGGAACCAGCATTTTCTTCGAGCAACAGGAGGGTGCATATCACATAGATAAATTCATTAGAAGTGAATAAAACTTGAATATTTCTTTTGGGGGGAGGGGAGGGTGAGAGATGCAGCTCTGCCTGAGGTCAGTGAGATTTTAGAAATTATAATGCAGGTTGTTAGAACTACTTAAGCTGTATCATGTTCATCCTGAATCCTTTGAAAATTATTTGAAGTCTCAGTGGACTTTGATTCATCCATATGTATTAACTGAATCCTTTAAGAGATTTTCTTCTGAGAATGTTGGTACTTGCAGACTACTGCATTGTTTTTAAGGATTTTTTTTTTTTAAGATTTATTTATTTGACAGAGAGAGAGAGAGGGCACAAGCAGGGGAAGCTGCAGACAGAGGGAGAGGGAGAAGCAGGGTCCCTGCTGAGCAGGGACTGCGGGGGGGCTGTTTTTAAGGATTTAAAGTGGAATCGTCATTCATAGCCTGTACCATTATTTGGGTTGCTGGTGTATAGGATTTTAGCTTTTCTTGTGAACAACAGTGTCTGTATTTATGTTATGTTGCATTATTTGAAAATTGTTAGCAGCCATGTAAGACGTAACTGCTTGCAGAATTCTTTCTCTTCTGTGGTGCTCAGCTAAGAGGCCGGCAGCATCGAGAGTTCCATATTAACCCTGTACTGGTGGTTGCTATAGGGTAAAGCTAAAACAAACAAGCAAGCGAACAGAGCACAAAAACCCTAAAGTCAGTTAGGCAGCATGCACCTCCACTTCTCTCATGCCTGCTATCACTTTCTTCCTCCCTCATTTTCCTCATTCTTTCCAGTTCCACTTTCCCATACTTTCTGATGGAGATTGCTCGGCAACTTGTGTGATTCTGCCTCCAAAGCTCTAGACGCTTGAGGTCATTTGAGTGCACAGAGGATCTGCTGTTTAGTTCTTCTGTGTGTGGAATAGACCTTTTATTTTGTATGACCTGTATGGCCTATTAACATAAATGTTGAGCCTATACAAGAAGGAATGTGGCTCCTTTAAGCCATTTCTCATTTCTCAGGTGATTGTTTGTATTTATTGATGAAGGCTAAGAATGGAGAGTGCAGAAAAAGGAGTTTTCTCTGCAGCATGCTTTCCCCTTTACAGTTTTGGTCACCATAGAAATGACCTTGCTGGGGAAAGGAAGGTATTTTCCCAGCCCTGTATCTCGAGGTATGTCTGGCATTTCCCAGCCTCTTCTCTGTGTTGGCCCTACACCTGCCCCTTAGTGTGTGGAAGGAGGAAGCAGGGTGTAGAGGAGTGAGGGAAGCATGGGGCTGTCCACTTCAGGACCTCCACTGTGCACGACTTACTCCCCCCGCCTTTTTTTTTTTTGTTAGCATGAGTCTTATTTCATTACATCGTTCTCCTGTTCCCTACTACCTTGAACAGATGCTTAGAATTTGGTGTTGACTAGATTTGGCTCTAAGAGTTGTGGTTCTGTGTCTGAGTGTCTGGGAGCATCACTTCTACCCCATATTTGATTATGGTATGGAAATCGAGCTATAACGGTTTTCTGGTCTGTGTTGGACATTGAGGACATAAAAAATGAATCCTCTGTGGTCCCTGTCTTGAAAGGGCTTATAACCTAGTGGGGTCAAGGTGGGAAGACACAGGCACAGATAATTACCGAATAGGAGTGTGGGTAGTGGTGTGTGAGCACTGAGTAGGGAGCAATGAATTCTACTTGTGGGAGCTGAGCAAAGTATCTCTGAAGACGATGACATTTAAATTGGCTCTTGACTGATGAGCAAGGCTGTGACAGTCAGTTACAAAGATTTCTGAAGAAAAGCACTGTGTGCCTTGTCATGAAAGAGCACGAGAGGGAGGAGTACCAGCATAGCCAGGGGACAGAGTTCACGAGGGGCACGATGGGAAACGAGGATGGAAGAGCCAGCATCTCTCTGGCCACTGAAATCTGTTAGGATGGATAAGAATCGGGTTTTTATAGAAACCAGCTCTGGAGCAAGGTGGGTGATGGGTTAGAATGAAGAAGAGAGACACAGCAGAGAGACTGGTGGCGGGGGTGGGGGGTGGGGCGGCTGTTGTAACTGAATTGACCAAAGGCCATGAAGGTTTCGACTGAATCAGTGGCCTTGATTGAGTCCCTTAATCATCTTGATTTTCTTAGGCTCCTTTTCACTTAAAAAAGTTAAATCTAAGTTACTTTGTATGCCTCTTGGTTTTTAAAATTTTGTTTCATGTTAATGAGGTGCCAAATACAACAGCAAGTCTCACTCGGTAGAGCGTGGCATGGTTGCCCTGTGTGTTTCCTCTGCGGCCCTCCCCTCCGCCTGGAGCTCCATTCCAGCATTTGAATGTCTGCTGTGCCTCTTCGAGCCTAACCACACACGCTAACGCCTATCTGCTAGATTCAAGTTGCCAGAGGGAGCGTTAGCGTCTGTCGCATTCACTGCGGGATGCCTAGCACCCAGCATCATGCCTGACAGAGTGGATGCTTCCTGAATATTTACAGAGGGAACGAGGATGAATTTGGAGTAGCTGGAGGCCAAAAACATTGCCGATGATCAGTACGAGTGTACATTAAAATAACAACTAAGTGAAATCATGTGAAATAGCAGCAACATTTTTGGTTCTAGTGTGCCTGTTCAACGAGGTACAAATCCATGAATTTGAACAAGCTCCCTGAGGGGATATGGCACACAAAATGTAACTCGTGGCCCACCTGTTGTTTAGACCTTTATGTACTCAGGAATTAGCAATTAACAGCTGTTTATTGCAGGGGATATGCTGATTCTGGGTTCTTTGTCAGGTACCTCTCACCAGCATTCCACTTGAAGCTGAGGAAAAGAGCAATAACAATTTCAGTAGAAGACTTCTTTGCACAGAGAGACAGTTTACGGCCCCTGTAGACTTACACGGTTTCGACAGCGATGCTCTTACAGACGTTTCCTAATTTCTTCCACATGCGTGGGTTCGGTCCCTGGATGCATTTTACTGGAGCTTCCTGGTTCCCAAGCAGTGGTTTCCAATCCTTTCAAGTCTGAGGACTCCTTTTTAAACTTGCACCCTTTTCAACCTAATACTGTTTGTACCTCTGGTAATCATCCCCTGAGAGAATACCTCCTGATGTTCTGTAATGCTTCCCTTTCGCCTCCCCAATTTTCTTATTTTTTTATTTCTTCATTTTTTTTAAAGACTTTATTTATTAGAGAGAGAGAGAGAGAGCACAAGTAGGCAGAGCGGCAGGCAGAGAGAGAGGGAGAAGCAGGCTCCCCACTGAGCAGGGAGCCGGATGTGGGGCTCGATCCCAGGACCCCGGGATCATGACCTGAGCCGAAGGCAGATGCTTAACCGGCTGAGCCACCCAGGAGCCCCTCCCCAATTTTTTTATTATGAAAAAATTTAAATACATGAAAGGCGTAAAAAATAGTACAGCATTTACTTCTATAGCACCACACAGATGCAACAATTATGAACATTTTCCATATCTGCTGTATCTGTTTATCTTCATTTTATTTGCTGAACAACTTGAAAGTAACAGACTTAATACTTCAGCTTGCGTTCCCTACAAATAAAAACATGTTCCTATATAACCATAATACTCTTCTATACCTAAGAAAGTAAACAGTGATTCCCTAAAATTGCCTTAATACGTGGCATATTCACATATCTCTAATGATTTCCAAATGTCTTTTGTAGCTTCTCCCCCTTCCCCTTCAAATGGAGAGGATTTAGGCAAGAGTCACATGTGGCATTTGGTTTTATTTTTTTAAGTCTTTTAATCTGGAAAAGTTCTCTTACTTCTCTCCTTTTCCTCTATGACACTGACTTTTTTTTTTTTGACACTGACTTTTTGAAGAGATCAGGACGGTTGTCTTGCGGATTATCTTATACTGTAGATGTCTCTGATTCTATCTGTTTGGCTGCTTGTTTTAGAAGGAACTATTGAGGAAGGAAGCTATTCTTTATGGAAGAATGCTAGCTAATAAACATAGAAGGAATGATAGAAGTAGAAAATCAGCATTCTGCCACCTGCTATGAAAAAATTAGTTAAGACAAAGATGCTAAAACCGTTAGGGAATAGAATACTCATCCAGTGCCAAAGTGTTACCCAACAGAACACCTGCCAAGTGCATTGGGGAAAACATACCTTGACAATGGTGAGGACTCAGGCCTGGGGATCCTTGGTTAAACTTGGCATCACTCCCAGTGAGGTAACCTAACATCATGTGCCCCTGACATGCTGTGGGGACTAGTGCATGGCGTCATTTGTGGAGTATTCTTCCCCCCACATGCTTCATGTCAAATTTTTAGACCTAACTTTCAGTCTATAGGAAATACAGGATAGAGAAACAGGTTAAATGACACCATGAGGAGACCATCAGACCAGTCCAGTAATGCTTTTAAATGAGTTTGCATTTTACTAATCACCACTGTGTTTACCTTCCCCTGACAACTGGGAGGGCATATACACTTGAGCTGGGGTCCCTCAGTGGGCAGACAGAGCTGGTCCACAGGATGTGAACCCCTTGCAATAACTGCTGCTCTTGGGGAATCATAGAACTCTGTAGACTATAATTTCTTTGACAGGGTCATATTGCAGCTTGCACGGCTTCTTAATAAATACAGGGATTTAGCTCACAGATGTGTCAGTCTGCCACCTTTCAGAAAGACTGAATTCACTTAGTGAGGTGTAAGGATGAAGGGCAGAAAATTGATCATGCCCCAAATATTTAACATATGGGAGTTTATGTGTTTTGCAGTAGGGGTATTTGGAAAGAACTGGAAAATCAGCCCTGTTTTATTTGGTGCCCGCTTATGATTAATTTAGTTTCTGGTGTTGCTATTCCTGAAACTGGTTTTCCAGGAATACTCTGGGACGTGGTTGTTTCGTCAAGGCAGTGTATTTATTCAGTGATCATTGTTTCAACTCTAATTTATTATTGATCTTTCAGGCCCACAGCTGCAGAACTTTTAAAATGCAAATTCTTCCAGAAAGCCAAGGTAAGATGCTTAAAAACCCACGTAAATCTGCTATTTTGAAATCACTGAATTTCTGCGTATGATATTTGGTGTTAACTGTTGGGAACATTTGTTTTGCAGAACAGAGAGTACCTAATTGAGAAGCTGCTTACAAGAACCCCAGACATAGCCCAAAGAGCCAAAAAGGTAAGCGCCACTAGCCTTTGTGATCCAGCAAGGGAAATGAGACCCACAGAAACATAGGAAAAAGATTGCCACACACTCAGGATGTGTTGTTCAGAGGTTATCTGGTTAGCGATTCCTCAGATGGCTGCATTTTGCCTTTTGGGTATCTCCGGCTTGCTGTTATGTGTTTGTGGAAACAGTGTGACACTTGAATGATTTCATTTTTCCATTTATCAGCTTTTCTTAAAGAAGGTCAGAGTAGGGGAGAGGATCATGATGGAGCTTGAACCCTGGAGAGGTGAAATAGCCTTGAGGATCTTTCCTTTGGACATTTCATAGAAGAGGAGCAGTTGTTTTTAAGCAGTTTGAAATGACAAAAGAAAAACCAAAATTTGTTTTTAATGGTTATCTTTTTAAATCTGATTTTATTTACAAATTTAATGGTTATCTTGAGTATCTGTGGGATGTCAGTCTTTTCCTTATAAAAAGACCCTGGCCCCTCTTGTAATTTACCTTATGGTAAGTAAATTATATTAATGATTACCTGAAAAACTTTACATTCTTGGTTTTAGATTCTTTAAATGGTGTGTACGTGTGAGTGTATTTGTTTATTTATCCAGATTTTTATTTATTTGTAAATACTGATTTCGTTATGGCGTGAAATCTAACGAAATTTAACCTCTGGTTTGGTTTCGTTTGGTTTTAGAATTATATTAAATATTTATAATTAAAAATATTTATGTAGTCACTGATTTAGAAAGGAAGGTTCTCTCCCCCTGCCCCTTTTTATGGTTAATAGCTACAGGGAAAGCTGATCTGAACTGAGTTGTATGCTCTGAAATAAAACTGGCAAGAGAAATATGGGTCAGAGATGGTATCTCATCGTGCCTGGCTGAAGTAACTCTGAATGTTATGTTCCAGCCATTGCCTTTTCTGAAACATTGTGTATGAAGTGCATTTCGCGGATGCCTTAAAGTTGTTTTAAATAGATTTAAGAGTAGATTTTAAGAAACGACCCTCTGTGTCCAGGTGTGGGAGTGCTCCCCGGGACCAGCAGAGTCCTTGGGGCGGATTGCCCCGTTGACTGCTCAGACCTGAGCCAGGGCTGGTCTGAGGGATGTCTCTAAGGGAAAAGTGAAAGTTTGGCAGATGGTCCATCAAGAGTGGTGCATTTCAAGGGGTGACACAGGTACACTAAAGCTTCAGTTGAGGCACAGAAAGTATAAGAGCCCAGCTGCTATCTGAGGGCTCTGGACAGAAGGCTGAAGGAGGACCCAGGAGAGATGCCCTGGGGTGTGTGAGCCTGTCGCGGAGCTTTTAGTCAGGCATCTGAAGTGTTAGCCAGAGTTGGAAAAGGCTGTTAGGGAGCCTTTAGCTTGTTCAGTTTGTGTCATCCCCAAAGAATATTTTTGTTGGCCTCGACTTGTTTTGCTAGTTTTGTCTGGTCTCATTCTGTAGCTGTTCCCCCTGAAGGAGTTTGCCAGGCCTGTGTTCTCTCCAGAGCTTTAGCTTCACACCCCCAGCTCCTGTCAAATGGACTGGAGGTCTCAGAGGGGCAGTTTCCAAGTGGCTTCCCTCCCCTCCCAAACCTAATCTTCCTGTGTTCGGTGTTTCCGTCTGAGTCACCCGACCTCACAACACTGGGATTGTTTTTGTGTTTGGGGCCTCCTTTCCCCCCGTCCTCCCCATCTAGCCCCTCTCCAGTCTCTGCCACAGTGCTTGGAACGTTCTCCTGGTTTTGACTGGACAGCTGCAGTCCTTCCCTTCTGTTCCTCCTTTCTGTTCTTTCTTAGACACTGCCGCAGGAGGAACTTTTGGATCACGTCACTTAATGGCTTCAAAGTGGTTCCCAAAATTAAACAAAAACAACCCCAAGAGCCCATAAATGAAAAAATAAAGTTCCTGCCAAAGAAAGGCCAACCTCCTTCGCCTTGAATTCATGGCACCATTTCAGCTTCCAGTCTTATGTTGTGAACTCAGCTCAAGTGAACCACCCATAGCTCTCACTGCACGTACTTTCCTCACTAACCTATACTTTCCTTTCAAACTCTTATCATTTGGAGAAAATGAAGAAGCTCTTCAGCTTCCAGCTTTATTTTCTTCCTTTTAAAAAATATTTAAATCATTTACTACATATGAGTGTGCTGTGCATTCCAAACCCCGTTTTGCATGTCTCGTAAACAAACCATAAGCAGCTAGAGTTTGGGGAGATGTGATTTTTCAAGCATGTCTTCTGCCATGTACTTGCTCCTGGACTTTAGACTTAAACCTCAGGGCTTGGTTTGTCATCCATCCCTTCAGATGGAGAATGGCCACACATCTTAGTGTCCCAGAGGAAGAGTAAAGGGAAAATATAAATTCATTCTTTAAACATCATATAGGAACAAGAGTAGCCCATAGTAATGTTGTTCTTGCTCTCTAGCTTCATTAAGTCTGCTGTTTTCCTGTTAGAATTCTCGTTGTCAAGTGTACGTGGGTTATCAGCTGTGCCCCACTCCTTGCCAGTAGGCTCCATGGCAGGTGTGCTGGCCAGAACATCGATCACAGTGCACGTCTCACTCATATCAAGTGCCCACAGATGTTTGCTAACTCCATGAACATATATGCTTGTGTGGACCATGGAAAGGCCATTCGAAGCTCTGTTTTTTACGCATCCAGAATGCTTGGCATACACTCATTCCTGGGGATTCCTGTTAACAGCAGATAGACCGCCCTCTCTCCGTGGGGTGCCTGATGTTGGGGAGCATCCGTGCTGTTCCTTGCTTGAAGTTTTTGCAGGCTTGGTCCCATGGAAGTAAATATTATTTTAATCATCATGAGCATTGAAAACCATTGTTGTAGGATGTCTTTGCTTGTCTTAGGTTCTTACCGTGTTTAAGTAAATTCAGTTTAAGAGTTGTTGCAGGGGAGTCTTCAGTGTTATTTTTGTCATCCATTTCTGGACTTCTCTTTATTGACATCTCCTCGGCTGCTTACTTTCCCGGTTGCTAGGGTGCCTCCTGGTTAATCATGCTCTGGTTTCCTGGTGTAAATTTGTTCTTCAGATGCTACTTGTTGCTGCTGGTGCTTTGATTTTTGTCTCCTCGGTTTGTTGTTTTAAAAATAGAAACAGTCCATTGATATACCAGTGTTTAGAGGACAACTGGGCCTGTTGACCAAGCTCTGCACAGTTAGGCAACCTGTGTGGGTTTGAAATTTGTTGGCAGAAACAACAGTTTCTGGGGCATCTGGGTGGCTCATTCGGTGGGGCGTCTGCCTTTGGCTCAGGTCATGATCCCAGAGTCCCCGGATCGAGCCCCGCGTCGGGCTCCCTGCTCGGCGGGGAATCTGCTTCTCTCTCTGCCCCGCACCCTGCTCTCATGCTCTGTCTCTGTGTCTCTCAAATAAATAAATAAAATCTTTAAAAAAAAAAGAAACAACAGCTTCTGCTTCTCCTCCCTTATGGTAACAAAAATTAAGAGGTATTTTTCAATGTGTTTTTTTTTTTACATGAGCAATTATCATATTTAAAAGAGAGAGGGGCCACTTGTAGCTGTTCTCAGGAGGTCCCGTGAGCCCACCAGTGCTGTCCTGGGGCACAAGAGAAGTAGAGGCCTGTCATATTCATGTTTGGCCAGAATGTAAAGCATTAGTTGGTTGCCATGGAATTCCATGTGGGAAGGTGATCTAGTCTTCATCCAGATTGATTCCTCTAAATCAGAAAAGAGAAATAGAAATACACCAGTGTGGCTTTTCTGGTAATTGAGTGACATAAAATGATTGTGTGTGTGTGTGTGTTGTCATTGCAGAAATTAGGCATATTTGTTTTCTTCCTGGAGGCAGAGTATTTGGTCCATTGTTTTTTTGTTTGTTTGTTTGTTTTTTCCCTGATAGACAGTGTTGCTTGGGGATCATCTTGATTTTCTTTTGCCCTAATTTTTCTGTCTGTGAAATGGAAATTCTGTCTGACCTCAGGCATGTGGTGAAGGGTAATGAGAGATTTGATGTTCCTGGACTACAAGACGTTCTGTGAATTCTAAATGAGAACATGCTAATAATGACCCATGAGAAAGAACAAGGTTAAGTACAGCTACAATTCTTTTCAACTTTTCATTTATCCTTATGCATGAGAAGAAAAGGCTTCATAGCCATTACTCCTTCTCATGTGACTTTTTAGGGACCTGTCTCCAGCCATCCTAATTTAGGGGTTTGAAAGCTTGAGCATATGGTGTTCCACTCTTTATCCTACTGGATTCACTGGGTGGGGAAGAGTGTAAATCATTCTGCTAAAATTGAGTGCCGGTGCTTAGGGCTGTGTGCATTTTCTGTAGGAGTATCTAAGTGTCAGATGGCTGGTGGCTCTGCTTTCTGTTAGTGATGCGAACCTTGAGTCACCACGTTCACGCTCCTATTCCTACACATCCTGTAGCTAAAACCCACTGATGGCAGGAGAGGGGCAACGGATTAATTGCTGTCCAGATGTCTCAATGCCACCTGCTTAACCGAAAAGCATATTGGCCAGAGAAGGGATGAAGTTCTTTTTATTGTGGTTGGCTGTGTTTTCACGGGAAGGGGAATAACTGGAGGATTTTTGTTTGAATTTAATTTTGAAATTGAGAAGTTAGAAATGATTAGTCACCATCAGAAAGAAAGAGATGGGCACCTGGGTGGCTCAGTTGGTTAAGCGTCCAACTCTTGATCTTGGCTTGGGTCTTGATTTCAGGTTCATGGGTTCAAACCCCACATTGGGATCCACATTGGGTGTGGAGCCTACTTAAAAAGAACGAAAGAAGGCAGGCAGGGAGGTAGGGAGGGAGGAAGGAAGGGAAGAAGGGAAGAGATACGGTATCACTGCTGCATTTGGATGGAACCATTGTGAATTGGAAAAAGTAGGGTGGTATTTGTGGGCCCCAGAATTCCTTGTATCAGGCTTGTAAGATTGATTTCATATTAGGGACCCAGGGAGTTGGCTTCATTTCATCCTCCTGTGTGCTTAGGAATAAATGGGTAGGAATATATAGGGATATTACAATTCATATTTA